AATGAAATAATATTTGAAATGAAATGAATTTGAAGTAAAATAATGAAAAAGAATGCTTAAGAAATATCTACAAAAAATATATACAATTGTCCGCCCCAGTGTAATTGGGTGTAATTGGTTCTTTATTACCTTTATAGGTAGGATACGTTATATATTTTCTAAATTTGTATCTTTGCGACAATTCCTTTTGAATTGGGGCGAATCCCTAGATGGGGGTATATGTATATGCATAAACAGGAAAGAATCACCATTAGGAAAGTAGTCGTCTTTGTCGTTGAATTAATTCCCGACATGCACTAGCGGCGGCTTCGACTGAGTGGGAATTTATAAAAGGTTCGCCGGAGGAATTGCAACCGCAAGCTGAGAGCGCTCGTGGCTATGAATTCGATACAAAGACGAAAGATAAAGCAACAATATACTCCAAACACCCTGTTTTCCCTATTCAGTATACTTAACCAAAACATATTCGCTTCAATTTATAATGTGAGATATTGCCTGCTTGCCTAATAACATTTTTCCTTATACAGGATAATAGGTCAAAACCTGCACCCAATATTCTTATCTGTAATCAAAAGGTCATATTGAAATATACTCCCTGTTAAGTTTATAGTACCATCAGATTTATTTTAGATTTAATTTATTTTAATGTCTATGACTTTTTTCAAATATTTTGGTTAGAGACCCATAAATTGGCCAGCAACTAAAATACATCTTTTATTGTTTTTTTTGCGAATAACGATTTTAATCTGCAGCACCTTCAAAAATGTGAACACAAAATATGATAAGAAATCTTTCAATCTAAGAATAGATAAAAATTTCAAACAAATACACTTCATTTTCTTTATTATTGTGTTTCTAGAGGATTTTAAACTTGTTTTTGGGACTTATATCAGCCAAATGTGTATTTCAAAAGGTAGTCAACTTTTGGTTTCATTACCTAAAAATTCAATAAAAAATTGAAAACTTTTCTTGACTGCAAAAAATTACAGACCTTGATATAAAACTATAACGCCATAATTTTTTCAGATTCTTTGAAGTTAAATTGTGTACAGGCCTGACGCTGGAAGCTGGCGGAAATTTTAAAATGGCCTGGATGCGCGGTGGCAAAAGTAGGCAGTTTTATGTATAAAGCTTTAGATGAAAGCTTATTTGTGTATCGGTTTCGAGTGACTTACCCAAATAGGTCATAAATGGGCAAATACCTGCGCGACCGTTCGCCAGCTTCCTTCGTCCGGCCTGTACCTATATTTCTTTCAATTTAGAAAGGGGCTAAAAACTTAGCAAGGACTATATTTCAATATGGCCTTTTAAAAGCCCATTAAGATATTTACGTTCCTTTAGAGGCCGATTTTGATCTCTTACCCTGCTATACCTTTTTTTAAAATACAAATTTATTTTGGTTTACAAATTAATTTTTTTTTCGAACGGGCCTGTGGTTTTGCAAAAGTATTTATATAAATACAGTTTAAACGGGTCTACATAAACGTTAGACTTGCCGATGATTAACGTAAATAATGTCGACAAAACGCAATTAGGGAGCCTAATCCATGCATCAATCGGATCGAATCGAATAGTAAGGGATACGGTATTTGTGTTTGTGTGCGTATCCAGGACGATCAGCTACACATTATTAAACCAGCAGTAGTAACGGTGGCGGTAATAAGGTTCTTCCCCGTTCTTTTGTTCGGAACAACAATGGACGAAATAAATGACATACGCATGGTGACTCTAATGCCATCTATTAATAAATTACGTACAGTACACCCCAGGGTCCTGCGGGATCCTAGTCGACACGCTAAACAATTGTATACCGTTATTACCCAGCTAATAACATCTATTTGTTTTGTAATTGCGTAATTATTAACGATTTGACCTTTTACATTTGACATAATCATATCGTAAAACAAAAAATTATTTATTAAACTGCAATAAAATCGTATGCAGGACTGTTGAATTTTATTTTATAAACTTGGTCAAACCCATTATCTATTTGTATAAGAGATGTCTCACGTACTTTATACCGTCTGTCCTTTTTTTAAAAAGGAAAATTGAAAAAAGAAATTAGTTCGACCCTCAGTTATTGTCTGGCGGTTTCCGATGATCCAAAATTCTGTTGCTTAAATCAAATCGATCCATAATACTTAAATACCGTCTGCCCATAAAATAGGCAGGTTATATTTATCAGCGAGATGATATAAACTACGAGGCAGACATGTTTATTTGTTATACCTTATACGGCTTCGATATCAATTTCAACTTTCCAAAATTTTGACGATCGACGGAATGTGTAATCATGACGAGATCGTCGAGTTTTTGACGAATTCAAACCGACACCAATACGATTACAATATATCAAAGTGTATGTCACCTGGTTTGCGATGTAGTCATGATGAGATCATTGAATTTTTGACTAATTCAAACCGATACCAAAGTTATTAGAATATACCAAACGATCTGCCTTCTAATTTAGGGTTAGGGATCGTCGAATTTCTGACGAATTCAAACCAATACCAATACGATTACAATATACCAAACTGTATGTCACTTGATTTGTGGTGTAGTCATGACGAGATCATTGAATTTTTGACTAATTCAAACCGATACCAAAGTTATTACAATATACCAAACGATCTGCCTTCTAATTTAGGGTTCGGGATCGTCGAATTTCTGACGAATTCAAACCAATACCAATACGATTACAATATACCAAACTGTATGTCACTTGATTTGTGGTGTAGTCATGACGAGATCATTGAATTTTTAACGAATTCAAACTGATACGGAAACTATGACAATATACCAAATTGTCTGGTTCCTGATTTATGGTGTAATCATGAGGAGATCGTCGAATTTTTGACAAATTGACATCCATACTGAAACCAAACTGTCTACCTCCTGTTAATACTATCGGCAGACGGTATGGTCATTACGAGATACACAATTTTATTTCATTTGATTCAAGCATCAAAAATTGGATCTTTGGAAAAAATAGGCAAAAAACTCTGCACGTTTTATTATTAGATAATACTTGTGCATTACACTCTAGTTATGTCTTTTTATCGTAATCATAAATTATTTATAATAAAATTCTACACATGTGTAAAAACGAAAAGAAATTGTAAATATGTATTGATTCCCATAATCAGTTTACAGCATTCTAGTCCAGATTCTTCTTACTACACTTGGATACTTAACAACTTCACCCCCGTTCATCTTCTCTAATTTGAGTACAATTGGAAATATCTCATCAAGATACTTCTTAAACTGCTTGTCGATAACTTCTGACGGTTTCGCATAGAGCGGTCTCTGATTCAGTAAAGATTTGTGGTAAAAACCGAAATTTTTCCTTTTAAAAACGCGCATGTCTCGCTCGTATGGCCATTTCAGTCTTTGCTTAACTCTTCTACACCATTCCGTTAAAAATTTGGGCCTATTACCCGCGTAACACAAATTCAATATCTCATAGATCCTTCTACACTGTTGAAAGCATATCTTGTACCTGTTTTCGGCACTTTCGGCGGTATTTCTACAAAACGTGTGCTTCAACACGTACAAATTGCTAAATTGGTAAAGTTCACACAACAGGTTACAGTCCACAATGTCCCTCATCCGTTGGAATCCCAGGGATGGATCTTCCACTGTTATGTCTGCGATATTTTGTCGTTCCCAAAATGTTCTATACACTGCTTTGAGAAGTCTTGTTCCCAATCCTGCCCTTTGATGTGAAGGCAGAATCAGGAATTGCGAAATTCGTGCTCTTATCTTTCCAGGATGTTTGTAGAACTGATAGATCGTGCAAAATCCCACTGGATAATATTCACGATTTCTGTACTCGTACAGGTAGAAGATCAACCACTTGGGATCACTGAGATCTATGAAACTCGCGGCATCAATGTACCAAACTATAACACTCTGGAATCTTTGATGTAAATCCCGAAAATCCGGGTCGTTTGTATCAATTTCTGTAATTTTGAAGTCGCATCTTCCTCGGCCAGCTATATTTTTTCGAAAACTCTCTCGAACGACTCCTAGCAACTTAGAGTTCTGTTTTTGCATTTTTGTTACGAATTTTTTCTTATCTTTAGTATATCCCTTCGGTAACCAAGGACTCAGCATCTTCTCTATGTTGTCTGCTTTTGTATGAGCGTCTTCTTTCACTTTCTTCAAATATCGAATGTCGAGTAAACAGTTCATCGTGAGTGCGTTGTAGTAAATATCGACGGACAAACTGCGATATCCGAATATTGTTTCGTCGGAATTGTACACTTGGTGGCAATGGGTTGGCTTGTAACTGGGCAAGTCACGTTGCGCGACGTCGTCCACAGAGTACACAAATCTAATATGAGTCGCGTTAACCCCATTGCACGTGAAATAGCGTGACACGTTTTTATCCCCGCTTTCCTTTTTCATGGTCTTTCGGTTGTTGATAAAGAAATAGTGACTTCAAACTGTACGCCGAAAATGGATTTTTGCAGCAGCAGTGACATTTCGAACTCATTACGAATGAGGTTATGTTTGTCAGTTACTTTGTTTGTCATCACGTTTACATGATAGTTATTGTAATTGCAAGTTTATAACATTACGGATCATGCCGAACATGCTTTTGCGGTTATTGTGTAAGGATTGGTGTTTTATGAACGCTAGTAGTAGTGTGAAAAAATTATTGCCCAAACATTAATCTAGCATATTAAGGTAAGCAATAAGACGATTTATTTAAGGTTTAGCTGTCAAAAATATATGGGTATTTTTGAAAGGTACTTTTATTTGATTTGTACACACATGTATAAAACATAATTCGCGAAATAATCGTATATATCAATTAACTAGGTTTTCCCCGCGGCTTCGCTCGCAGAAATTAATATTCTTTCTCCGTAAAACCTTTTANTTAAAATGTGATACTAAAATCATCACTTCTTCTGAAAATGCCCGCTGGTAGGGTTAAACACTTGCCATGATTGAAAAAATATTCAGTGGTTTGTGAATTATTTAATTAATTATTTTAATATTCAATATGAATCTCGAATTCCATAAATTAAAGGCTGAAACAATTAATTATTCGTAGAAACTATTGTTTAGTTTCATATACAAAATTGAAACATGTCATATTAACTCTAAAATTCTCCAAAAATTATCTCTGAGCAACCCAAAAGTTTAAGTTTTTTCCCAGTTTGAATAATGTCAGGGTCTGGCCTTTTTTGTCTCAACTTACCTATAATTAGGTACGCCACTGGTTTTGAACAAATTTTTGTATAGATACGTCAGTGTGGCAGGCAGCAAGTAGCATGAGTTATACAGTAAGTTGGTTGCCAAAGCTTACCCATCTTACGCTAGATGACTTCAAAAGGTGAATAAAGCTTGTAGGATATCGTCGAGCACTTGGTTAAACATTCGCTGATCCGAAAGAGAATAACGACGTGAGTGGCAACAAATGTACGAACAGGTGCCTATTTATGTAGGTTTAGCATTTTGGGGTGTGTCGATGAGGGTGCATTCCTTACACGTTATCGGGGAAAAAAGGGCGAACGGTTGTCCGCTATTCCGCTGTACGACACGACGTCCTGTCGGTAAATGTCGAATCTGATTAGAAATTATACTGTTGTCCTGATCACGTTGACATGCAATTAATACTGTTTAAATAGCAGAAAAAGAAGGCAGAGGGAGGGAAGAAAGAAGCCGTGAGTAATTAATTGAAATGAATTCTTTCCGATTTTACGTTACACTGAATGCTATATTCGCATTTCTAAAAATTTTGTGGTCCATCGAGCCGAACATCTATCATGTTCGTGGGTTTAACAAAATTAACTTCTAGGATTGATAACGACAAAAACTATTACTTTTGAAAATTCAGGATGGAAGGACAAATAAAAATATAAAACAAACTATTGCGCAGGGTCGAATCGCCTTCAACAGAAAGAATTAAGTCACTTCTATGCCCGCGAACGGTTAATTTATATAGAAATTCGAAAATGACTGTTGAAGGTGTTTGGAACACGTTCTGTACGGGTGCAAAACGTAGATGTGGTGGAAAAGAAAAGGTTAAAAGCATTCAAAATGTGGTCTTACGGAAAAATGAGATATTATTAGAAGAGTAAGAAAACAATAGGCAGGATAGGTTGGTAGGACACCTTCTCAGGTAAGAAGGGCTAGTTAAAGACATATTAGAAGCAGAAAGAGGAGTTAAGAGGAGTAGAAGTAGATCTAGATTAAATTACTCTTCACAAATAGTTAAGGATATGTGATGTTCTAGTGTCAGGGAAATGTCAAAATTAGCTCAGGATAGAAAGTTGTGGAGATCCGTATTAGTAAGGTGGCCATATTTTTTTATTTCAAATCCGGGACAGGGTAGTTAAG